GGGGGTAGGGGGCGGTTGGAGAGGCTTTTTTTTTTTTTTTTTTTTTTCCTCCCCTTCCCCTCTTTTGAGTGTGGTAGGGAATTCTCATCAGAATTTAGGATACAGTTATTCCTCACTTCTATTGACACATGGAATTAAGGGGATCTTTACTGCGTTCTAAAGTATTCAGTGTCTTACTGCACACAATAATTTCTTGAGTTTATCAAAGAGAATAGCTTTGGCATTGTTCTGTGTTGCTTGGCTGTTTGAAGTTGTTAGCAAGAAATAGTGATAAATGTAATTTTTCTGTCCAGGATGTTTTGTTCTCATTTCTGCCTAACAAGGAGTCTGTTTGTGGTGCACTTCAAGATAATTACTGATCTAGTTATAGAATCTTCCCCGTTTGTAGTATAGCACAGTTTTAAGTGGTTCTCCACTGAAATTGTTGTAAGTGCATGTGTGGTAAAACAGCTTGACAACAGCCCAAGTTTTAACAACTACACGTTAGAAATATGGTGACTCCCTGTGGGGTGTCTCGGGAAAGCCCTAAAGATTTAGAAACTAGACTGGATCTCTGACTTTGGTACAGAAAACTGGAACTGTTTACGTGTTGTAACACGTTTATTGCACGCTGAAGTGGTATCACATTTCATTGCTAAAGTAAATTTCCTCATCATGGCTACAGGAGACTGAGGCTTAGTTCTTGTAATAGCGTTTCTGTCTAGGAACAAAATCAGAATTAAATTAACTGTGCTATACTTAATGTGCCTCTTAATTTTTATCTCTAAAAAGAGAGAGATGAGTTTTTGACACTTAGTATGTTTTTCCCTGCTGATGCTCATTCTTCATATATATATATATATATATATATATATATATATACACTGTCTGTGTGTGTGTATGCATGTGTGTATATGTATATGTGTACACATAAAGCTGCAGTTAATGCTTACTAGGCAAATAAACCAGTTCTGAGACTAGAGTTAATTGTTCATGCTTAAGTTATTCATGCTTTAACAACTGAAAGCAATCAACTGTCTCAGGAGTGTGTAACTCCTGTAGTTGACCACTGCAGAAGTTCATTTAAGAACAGGCCAGAGCAGTTGGCTTCCCACACACTCTGCCTCGTTGGCGCTGGGGTCTACTTTGTCTCCCTTCTTCTGTGCCTGCGAGAGCAGGGCTGTTCGGTCAGCCCTGGAAGCTGCTTGGCTGGTTCGTGTTTGTCTTTGGACAGCGAAGTGGTGACCAGGATTTTGGGTTTTGAATGGTCTGCTACTAATTGGAGAGCACAGTTTTATGTCTCAAAGGCTGTGCTCTGTCTTGGCTCTAGTGGGTGATACTTTTCTGTGTGTGCAAACAACTGAGCACAAATGAATTGCAAACTCGATTCATTTGTTTGACTAGGTGGAGATGCCTGGTAATTATTTACTCATGATTATGTATATGTAGTACATAAGAAATAAAAGAACGTGATCCTACTATGCACTTTTTGCAATTGCTCTGCAAGTGCGTTTTTTTTTTTTTAATGTTGCTTGAAAGGTCTTTCGTTGTCCCCAAATGAGCTGATTTGCCTTAGCTGGTAGTCAGGATCGGCTGCTACAACCTTGCATGTAACCTTTCTGATGTGTGCAGATGTCCGTGAATCTCCGACTCAAAAAGATAAGCAGGGCACATAGGTGTTAATGTAAGGAAAATTCTGTGAGAATGTGTATGTATGGAGTAGTACGTAAGGGCTGCCATACTGGCTTGGGAAGCTGGAGGGTGTACGTATGTTGTGCAGATAGTAACTACCGTGTCCAAAGAGTACTCCAAGAGCCAAAGTTGTGGCAGCACTACTGTTTTCAAAAAAATCTTTTTTTTTTTTTACCATCAACCCGTTATGTGCCAAACCTTTTTCTGGATGATTTGTAATAATAGTGATTTAATTACAGCATTTAGCGAGGAGCACAGTGACACCATGTTTTGCGTTTTACTGCAGTCTACTCTTCCTTGTGCTTATCATGAAGATGAAGAGGAGCTAGGATAATTTGTGTGATACCAGGCTGTACAGACCCATGCAGTGTGTGCACAACCAGTTAGCTAGTTGTCTGGCTTATTAGCTACATGTGGGTGCTGGTCCTTATTAATCCACAGAGCAGATTTCTGAAATGAACTTCAATGTTATGAATTCCAGAAAGTTTTGTTAGCTCAAGCACAGCTCGACTTGTAACTGTGAGGTCAGCCTGCTTGTAGCTCTGCAACTGAAATAATAAACTGTTAATCTGGATTCACTGCAATATGCATGTTATGAGTATGTCATTGGCTCTGGAAGAATCAGTTTGTACTTGGCTGGTAGTAAATGCTCTAACTTGGTAAAGATGGTGGTTTCTCCACTTGACATGTCTGTGTTGTCTCTCTTTGGTGGGAAGTCTTGCAAAGTTGAGTGCAGTGCTGGCTCTGAAGTAAGTGTGTTTGTGCGTCACTGCAGCTGGCCTAAATAAACCACCTGCACTTTAGTCCTGGGGAATGTGTTGAAGGGCTGTGACACCCTGTGGAGCTACCCACATAGGACTGGAGCTTGTGCTCATCTGGATCTCAGCCGAGTCTAGAGTTACTGCACTTGCACATGTATGTCTCTAAGGGTGGGGACAGAAAGACACTGCAGTATCAGGTTAAATCATACGATGCCTAAGAGTTAGGATCCTGGGCTTCAGAAGCTATAGGAGGCAGCTATACTGGCTACCTCCAAAGCCAGGTCAGGCACATGGTATTCTCACAGTGATGGTTCCTTCTAGTAATCCTGACAGACCCGAGATGCTTCTACATCTGCTGCACAGATGATCCGCAGCCTGAACAATTTAGAACAGAGTTTTTTTAATTTCATTTTTTCCTTTTCTCTTTTTTAAATCTGTAATACAAGGCTTGTAGTTCTTCTTCTCTCCAAGGTTCCTTTCCCAAGCTTTCATATATATTCTACAAGTTTGTTATAAATTTGCTTATAAGAGTTGTATGGTGTATCCTTAGTTAACCCTCCCATCCTCTTCCTGCCAAAAGCATTTATATAGTGTAGATTTTGCTTTCAGAAGAGGCAGTGAAGGAGGAAAGAGGAATGCAGATTTGTATCATGCAGATTGGTTTGTGATCAGAATTCTGACAATTTTGGCTCAGTAAGCTGTTTATATGGGAATAGGATCTGTATGCCTGTGTTTAGAATTGTGTTTGATGTGGATTTTACATCTGTTATCTGTGCGCTGTAATGAAAGCTAATAATTATGGTCTCAATAGAGACAATAGAGGTGGTCTATAACTTCATTTTAGGAAAAGTACAGCAAGTTGTTGCTTTCTGCTGCTGCTTTTTTTTTTTTTTTTCGTTTTCTTTCCCCAAATTGAGATACTGGCCAACAAATAATTTCAGATTAGTATTTGTATCTTTATTTGAAGGTATTTCTTCAAATAATTCTTACTGCAGCATTGAAACGAATGTGTGTTTATATGTTTCTGTATATATTTTTTTATGTTAAAGGGATAATTTATATGGGAATCTGCAACTACAATTAATCTCAGGTTGCTATAGCAAGTAGTAGGAAAGTACTTTATTTTTGTTATGTTATTTGTCTGAGTTTTTTTTACACAGCAGTAGAACAGGAATCTTGTAAATAGGAGAGAGAA